ATTCTGTGCTTGATACTTCTTCTTTCACTAACACCTGAAGAAGGAGTGAAGCTCAGAAAGCTTGTGTTTTCAAATATGCCTGTTGGACTATAAGCTGGTGTTGTGTGATTTCTGACCTTGTTGACCCTAGTCCAACACCAGCACATCCACATCACTGCAGAAATAAGGCTCGAAGTTAAGGCCAAAGCTGAACCAGATTTGGGAGTGCAGGTGTCATCCACAAAGTCTACGTCAGTATTGGTCTCAGCTACATTCCTCTCTATTTCTTGTGTCTTTATGTACATTTCAGTGCATGGAAATTCTTCATATATTGTCAATGATGTTGTCTGTGTAATTTAGTTCTGTGCAAATAAAAAGAACGTGAACAAGGAATGTGCATGCACCTCAAATGGACTTTGGAAATTGGTATTTTTCCAGCCTGTTAAATATGAACTTGGAATAGATTAAATACAAGTATAGTTACCAGTGAAGGAAGGCTTGCAGTAGATAGTAGTGGAATGGTCCTATTAGCATGTTGGGGAAAGGAACAACATGAAAATGCTAACAGGATGCTGTAGAGAGTCCAAAATAACAGTCTGCCTACCACACAATTGAACAAGGTTGTGAATGAATTTCAGTGCTGGTTAATGACAAGTACTTAGGCTGTATGTCCCACTTATTGGCTGTTTGAATCAATAAGAAGGAAAAATAAGTTGAAACTGGATTAAAATTACAAATATATCTAACTGGTATAACCAGTATGTACTGGGAAAAAACAGAAAAAATGGAAAACCAAACCAGAAATAATTTAGTACCAGATTTGTATACCTTCATGGAATATAAGATTGGCCTTACCAACATTTGCTCACTTTGCAAGGTGATGCAGAGAAAGTGCATTTCAAAGCTATCTTGTGGGAGAATGGCTATCCTAATCAGACCAATATTCACGACGTATTGGGCAACAATTGGGCAATCACTTTCAGACTCAAATGCCTAATCTACCTCAAATTACTCTGGAAAGGTAAGGTACCTGAAAAATTTGAACAGCTTAAGCAAATCTTTCCCTATTGTTACCGTACAGTGGCAATGTGAGTAGTATTTCCCACTAACAGTTATCAGGCCAAAACAATGCTTTATTTTCCACACAATTAGCAATGACAATTGAAGATAATCAGTGAGCTTAATAGAATATACAACGGTACAGCACAGGAACAGGCCCTTTGGACCATCACGTTTGCACCAACCATGATGCCATCTATTCCCAGATTGTTAATGTGTCTGTCTAAATGCCTCTTAAATATTGCTATTATATGTGCTTCTACCACTTTTTCCAGTAGCACGTTCCAAGCATTTACCACTTTCTGTATAAAAGAAATTCCTTCATATCTTCTGTCAACTTTCCCCCTTTCAATTTAAACCTATGCCCCATAGTATTTGACATTTCCACCCTGAGGTAAAAACCCTGACTATCCACCTTATACGTACCTCTCATAATTTTATATACTTCTATCAGGTCACCCCCTTAGCCTCTAATGCACTAGCAAAAATAATCCAAGTTGTCTACCCTCTCCTTATGGTCAAAACACTCCAATTCAGGCAATATCCTGGTAAACCTCTTTTGCACTTTCTCCAAAGCCTCCAAATCCATCTTATAATGTGGTGACTAGAAAAATATTCCAAATGTGGCCTAACTGAAGTTTTATACAACTGTAAGATGACTTACCACCTTTATAATCAATGCCCTAACCACTGAAGGCAAGCGTGCTGTACGTCTTCTTTACCACGTTATTAACTTGTGTTGTTGCTTTCAGAGAGCTATGGACTTGTACCCAAGATACCTCTGTACATCAACGCTCCATTTACTGTGTTGACTGTGAAATATGCTATACAGATACCTCAAACAGTTTATTACTCATAAAATGTGTTTACTTGGGTACTGATACTGTATGAGACAAACTAAGGACTACAATTCAAACGTAGTTTAATTAAAACACTCGCAAGTTAAAGAACTCCTAAACAATAAATTCAGTTAAAATTTCCCCAAACTGGGTTGATTGCCTGAAAAATACATACATTACCTTGCTCTGGTGAACTTTATGGGGGCCTGTTGGATTAAATTCACTGAGCTTTGTTGATGGGTACAGTCAGAGTCTTGTTGGTACAAAGGTGGATCTTGCAAGGAGTCTTTGCCGGTGAGTTGTCACTGATATGGCTCATTTACGAAATGTTCAAACCTTGTACAATTTTTGAGTTATACAGAAGCTCAGAGGGCCTATAGTTCCCATTGCATTCTCCATGCAATGCTTCAGCCTATCAGAGCTAACTTCTGAAGTAATCACTGCCCTTTTGTCTTTGCTCTAAATTGCCTCACTTTTCAAATGTTCTGCACTACCAAGCAATTGTTATTCAAAAATTATAAGTTATCCCTTTATAAGTGATATAAACTCTTAAGTACTTTTGAAACATTTTAAAATAATAACAGATGGCCCAAATATTTTCAAGTAATCACACATGTTCCTTATTTTAGACCTTCTGGGTCATGAGGGTCATTATAAAATCATTATAAAATAGATAGGGTTACTGTGTCAATAAGGTGTCTTTTCCCTAAAGTGGGGGATTTCAAGACAAGAGGGTACTTTTTTAAGGTGAAAGTAGAGAGACTTAAAAAAAGATATGAGGGAAATTTTTTTTTACTCAGAATATGTGGAATGAACTTCCTGAGGAAGTGATGGATGCGGGCACAGTTACAACTTTTAAAAGACATTTAGATAAGTAAATGTATAGGAAAGGTTTGGAGGGATACGGGCCAGGAACAGGCAGGTGGGACTAGATTAGTTTGGGATTATGTTCAGCATGGCAGTCCAGAGACATGCAGTTTAGGTGGATTGGCCATGCTAAATTGCCTATAGTGTCTGGGAATGTGTAGTTTAGGTGGATTAGCCATGGGAAATGTGGGGTTGCAGGGATGGGTGAGTTTGGGTGGGATGCTCTTTGGAGAGTCGTGTGAACTTGTTGGGCCGAATAGCCTTTTTCCACACTACAGGGATCCTATGATGGATTCTATGATCTATCACTGGTTGGACTGTAGGTTCTATTTCTGTGCTGTAAGATGCTATGTTGGTTGGATAGTGCACAGATGTTCAGTTGCAGTGTTGGTGGCTCTGTTCAATGATCTGAGAGTGACCAGTTTAAATGGTCCCACAGATTTGGCTGAGTTAGGTGGTCTAGGTCACTGGGTTAAAAACATATGAACATACAAAATAGAAGCAGAATTAGGTCATTCAGCCCCTTGAGCTTGCTCCATCATTCAATAAGATCATTGGTGATTTGTTTCTACCCCAGTAAGTTTTGATTTTTTCACCAAACAAAATTCTATTTCCCTTTGCCTTAAAATCTTCCAATCTTCTGAGATGGAGTTCCAAAGTCGAGAAAATAAATCTCCTAAACTAAGTCTTAATAGGTGACCCCTAATTTGAAAACTGTGTCCCCTAGTTCTGAGGTCATTCTCAAGAAGAAAATCCTGTCCACCTTGTTACGATCTTGCAGGATCAAATATGCTTCAATCTTCACTCTTCACTCTTTTAAACTATGGTTGAAACAGTCTGTCCAACCTATCCTCATAAAACAATCTGCTCAGTCCAGGTATCACCTATTAAACTTCCTCTAAACCACCTCCAATGTATTTTCATCCTTGACAAAGGAGATCAAAATTGCATTCCAGTATTTAAGATGTGATCTCATCAGTGTTCTGCTTTACTGAAATATAATATTCTTACCTTTATGTTCAATTCCTCCTGTAATAAGCAAAGAACTCAGTTAGTCTTTGGTTATGTGCCGTACCTGCACAGCAATGTTTTGTTCTCATGCAGTAGAACACCTAGACCCCTGTGTAAGCCTAAATTCTGCAGTCATTCTCCAGGTAAGAAATACTTTCCTTTTTCATCTTTCCTAACAGTCAATGATTTCACATTTTCCCACATTATACTCCATCTGCTGGATATTTTGCTCCTTTGCTCCATAATCATCTAAAAACTTGTTAGGTCTTTTACAGAGATAGTAGGAACTATAGATGCTGGAGAATCTGAGATAACAAGGTGTAGAGCTGGATGAACACAGCAGGCCAAGCATTTTCTGAAGCAGGGTCTAGGCCCGAAACGTCAGCTTTCCTGCTCCTCTGATGCTGCTTGGCCTGCTGTGTTTATCCAGTTCTACACCTTGTTATCTCAGGTCTTTTACAGAACTTAGTTTCCTATCTGTTTTTGCGTGTTGCAAACATAGCTACCATTTCTTTTAGTTCCCCTCATCTGAATCACTGATACAAATTGCAAATGGTTGAGGGTCCAGCACAGGCCCCTGTGTCACATGGCTATGCCAAACCAAAGTGCCCTGTAGTGTCCAGGGATGTGCAAGTTTGGTGTGTTAGCCATGGTAAAAACCCCACTGGGATATGGGGATGGGTTTGGGCAGGGGAGAGGTCTGGATGAGATGTTCTTCAGTGAGTGGGTGCTGACTTGATGGGCCAAACAGCCTCTTTCTGCACTGTAGGGATTCAATGATTCTACTCTATGACAATGGGGCAACTTTTTCACACATAGGGTGGTATGTGTATGGAATTATCTGCCACAGGAAGTGGTGGAGGCTGGTACATTACAACATTTAAAAGACATCTGGATGTGTAGATGAATAAGAAGGGATTAGAGGGATATGGGTCAAATGCTGGCAAATAGGACTAGATTAATTTAGGATATGTGGTCAGCATGGACGAGTTGGACCGAAGGGACTGTTTCCATGCTGTACATCTCTATGACCTATGTATGCATACTTTCTGTTCTCTGCCAGCCAACCAATCTTCTACCTATCCAAACGTGTTACCTCTATACCATAAATTTTTATTTTATCGGGTCGAATTCAGTGGTTCTGGGTGGGATTTCCCAGATGAATGCGTTGGGTTGGGCGATCCCAGCTGGTGGGTTAGGTTGGAGTTGAGTGATCCTGGAAGTTGGATCCAGTTGGAATTGGATTGGGTGGACCCCGGGAGTTTGGGCTGTGTGTTTCTCGGTTGTGGCTGAGACTTTCCTGGAGTTCACTGTAGGGCTGGACATCAGGGAGGCGGGTCCCTTTCAGCTGGGGAGGCGGTGACTCTGTCCCGGACTGGACTGTGCCGGTGCTGCATAACGAGAGATTGTTCCTGACCATGTACACCATCACCCGGGGACCCAGCAGGCTGGCCACACAGCGGAGGACGGGTAGGAGGCAGCGCCCCGCTCGGCCCAGCGCACAGTTCTGGCTCCTTCTCACTCTCTCTCTCTCTCTCTCTCTCTAACGCAGGTCCATCCCAGCAGATCGAAGCCAAGTCCGGTTGTGACCTCAAGCTGAAACTGGTGGGGAGGTAAGTTGAGGAGTTCGGGTGGGGACTCGGGCAGGCGGTGTCTGGCAGTCCAGCTCTGTGACCTTGCGGTGAAGGTGACATTTAGGCTGGGGAGCTCGGCACAGGAGCCGGCGAGCCGGCCTTATCTTCTCGCTCTGTCCCGTTGAGATCATCGACCGGCACAGTTTAGGTAGCGCTCCGGGTTTGTGTGTTGCAATCAGGGACAGTGTGCTCGGTGTGTGTTAAAATGTGGCACTGTGCTCAATGTGTAGTACTCTGTGGGACTGTGTGTTATAATGTGGGCCACTGTGCTTGGTGTGGGTTGTATAATATGGGAGGGTGTCTGTTGCATAATATTCGAGCAGTGTCTCTTGTACAATATAGGAGCATGTGCTCGGTGTTTATAATACGGAGCAGTATTCTGTGGGACAGTGTGTGTTATAATCTAAGTCAGTGTGCTCAAGTGTGTGTTGCATGGTGCAGGATAAAAGGCAACCCACACCCAGCATACTGTTCCACCTGATGCCACACACATAGCCAGCATTCTGCTCCACAATTTACAACACACAACCAGTATAATGTAGAGCAGTATGCTGCATGTGAGCATTGCATTATGTGGGACAATGTGTTGTATGATGTGCTGGTTGGGTGTGTATTGTGGGACAGTGTGCTTTATGTGTGTTGTGTTAAATTATGTGGAGCTGTGTGTTCTGTGTATTTTAAAATTTAGAGCAAGGTGCTATGTTAGTGTGTTATTAAAATGTGGAATTGCATTTTTGGTGTATGTGCTTAACATGCAACAGTATGATTGTTATGTGTTGCTTAACAAGGATTAGTGTAATCATAGTGTGTAGAACCCTGTGCTGCATGTCTGTATAACGTGGAGCAGTGTGCCTGGTGTGTGTAGTGTGGAATAGCATGCTTAGTATCTGCATTGTATAGTGTGAATAATTTGACCTTCATGATTGCTTTTGCTTGTAGGCAAACACGTGCTTACTAGTCAATAGAGGATTGCAACATGTTACTGCACGGAATATGCTTCCAAGTGAGAGAATGAGAACAGGGTAAAGACCAAGCTAGCTAGCCCTGTTGTGGAGTAGGAACAAACTGCAGATTTCTCTCTTTCTGAGCCAAATATGAAAACACGATATCCCATTTCCCAAGGCTGTTATAACATTTAAAGTACTTCACAACTTTATCCTTTAAATTGTGTCCTTATCATTGAGCTGCTTGTAGGTGATAAAGAATTACACAACACTTAAGATTTCCTGACTAGGGACATTGACAACTGCATGCCATTCTGTGTCCTTTACCTTTTACCCACATACTGGTTATGTTGGTCTTTTTAGTTTTTAATGAATTCCAGTTTCGATGATGGCTGAATAACACTGATGGATCATGAAATATCACCCTTAATCCAACATTTCCATGGCCACAATGTTGGAGGTCTTGTGCCTGTTATGGTATTTGAAGTGGAAAACTTTGCTGAATCTGGAAGTCTGCTTGTCTGCTGTCAGCTGTACTCTACTCATATAAAGACCCCTATTGATCTGTTTCAGATTCAGGCTCTTGATCTAGGCAGCAGTACCTCACATTACTAACATGGTCAAGTGAAGACACCTCTATGTTGCTCGTGGATATAACTGCCTGTGATCTGACTTCAGGTCAAGCAGACAGCAGCTGTTAGTTTGCCACGGTTAAGGTTTGGGTTTCACTGATCAATATGTGCTGAATAGGGAAAGATTTAATGTTTTCCTAAAAGTAAACCAAGATGTTGAGCAATTACCACCCATTTCTGTCAAACCATAGGAGTGAGTGCGAGAGAAAGGGTTTTTTTTATTGTGTTTGTATTCTTCAAAAAAAAACTATATTTTCTAAACAACCTGTTCAGAGATGTTATTACATGTTTCTGGTAGGACTTGAATCTGGGTCTTGCTTCATGTTAATCAGAGCCCCCTTATGTTTGGGCTGTCTGCTAAACATCTCCGTGCTGTTTTAAAGAACGCAACACAAAAGTGTCAGAATGACTCAAGGGGCCTGTGTACATCTGAAACACGGATCAAAGGTTAGGGGAGACTTGTTGAATGGACTTTTATCTGAAAGACGATCTAACTGTTAACTTCATGTCTGTCAGTATTTTAAAGTTTTGTTCCAGCATTTAGTTTGTTTTCCTTTAGTGTGCAATTTCAGAAGGTTTGACGCCAAGTCCAGTAAAGCTAGTGTCCTGATTCAGACCACAACTCCTTTTCTTCTCTTCAATTCCCTGCAAAGCTCCAGTCCTCCCTCCTTATTGGGTCAGTGCATCTCCTTCCTAGAGTCAGAGCCATATAAAACACAAACATCCCCTTCAACCCAACTCGTCTGTGCCGACAGGGTTTCATAAATGTCCTGCTGGAGAAGTTACCTGTATTTCCTTGGTAATCCACAGGGTAGATTTACTATGGAATTTCACTTTGTTCTGCCACTAAAGGATTTGTATTCCTGGAGAGAGGTTAACTTAGAGTTTACAGTGGTGTCTGTCACAGCTGCATTGAGTCTTTTTCAAGCAGCTTCATTCCTTTTTCCTACAGCTGAGAGGAGAGGCTGAGGAGAATTCCTATTTTGGGGTGCACAGATGTCCCAAGTTGGGGCCACAAAGGAGGGAGGGTTACTGTGCATGCATTCCTAACTTAAATATTCCAGAAGGCCTGAACTGCTGAGAGAGCATAGAGGTACAGCGCAAGAACAGGCCCTTCAGCCCACCATGTCTGCACTGACCATGATGCCATTCTAAACTAATTCCATCTGCCTGCACATGGTCCATATTCCTCTGTTCACTGCCTGTTCATATATCTGTCTAAATGCCTCTTAAATGTTGATATCAAATCTGTTTCTATCACCTCCCTTGACACTGCATTCCAGGCACCTACTACCCTCTATGTTTTAAAAAACAAACTTGCCTCACTCATCTCCTTTAAATTTTTTTCCCCTCTCACCTTAAACAACTTCTCCCCCCCAGTATTTGTTATTTCCACCCTGGGGAAAAACATTTCCAACTATCCACCCTATCCAAGTGTCTCTCAATTTTATCTACTTCTATCAGATTGCCCCCCCAGGTTCTAACACTTTGACGAAAACAAGTTTGTCCAACCTCTCTTTAGAACTAATTGGCTCCAATCCGGTCAACATCCTGGGAAACCTCTTTTGTACCCGCTCCAAAGTCTCCACATCCTTCCAATTAGTGTGGTGACCGAAACTGCACGCAATACTCCAAATGTGGTCAAAAATTTTATACAGGATTTGCTGCAACAGGATTTGTCAACTTTTATGCTCAATGCCCTGACCATTGAAGGCAAGTATGCTGCACACCTTTTTTTATCACCTTATCCATTTGTGTTGTCACTTTTAGGAGCTCTGGACTTGCATCCCAAGATTCCTCTGTATATCAAGGCTCTTAAGGGTTCTGCCATTTACGTGCTTTCCTCTTGCATTTGATCTCCCAAAATGTATCACCTTACACTTGTCCGGATTAATATCCACCTGCCATTTCTCCACCCCACCTTCCACCTGATCTATATCCTGCTGTATCGTTGATAACCTTCCTTTCTATCCACAACTCCTCCAATTTTCATGTCATCTGCAAACTTACTAATCAGACCACATCTATTTTCATCTGAATAATTTATATATATTACAAACAACAGAGGCCCCAGTACTGATCCTTGCGGAACACTACTGATCACAGACCTCCAATCAGAGAAACGCCCCTCCACAACTATCCTCTGTTCTCTAATGACCGAGCCAACTTGCCAACTTACCAACTCACCATGGAACCCATATGATTTAATCTTATGAGTAACTTTGTCAAATGCTTTACTAAACTCCATGTAGACAACATACACTGCCCTAATCTCATCAATCATCTTCCCAAACAAAATAAAATTAGTAAGACTAGTAGATCCCTGCACAAAACCATTCTGACTATCTCCTAATATGTCCATTATTTTCCAAATACAAGTAAATTCTGTCCCTAAGAATCTTTTCCAGTAATTCCCTACCACTAAATAAGATTCACTGTCCTATGAATTCCTGGGTTATCCCTGTTACCCTTCCTAAACAAAGGAACAACATTGGCTATTCTCCAGTCTTCTGGGACCTCGCCTGTGGCTAAAGGGGATATAAATATCTCTGTCAAGACCCCAGCAATCTCCTCCCTTGCGTCCCACAGTATCCTCGGGACATACCTACCTTTAATGTTTTTCAAGACACCAACACTTCATTCTTCTTAATATTGACATGCCCTGGAATATCAACAGTCTTATCCTTATCTATAACTATCTTAAAACTTCCAGAATTGCGATCACAGTTCCCAAAATGCTGTGCCACTGAAAGGACAGTCACCTGGCTGGGCTCATTCTGCAATGCAAGGTCTAGTATGGCCCCTTCCCTAGTTGGACTATCTACATATTGTTGCAAGAAGCCCTCTTGGATGCACCTAACAAATTTTGCCCCATCTAAGCTTCTGGCACTAAGGGAGTCCCAGTCAATATTGGAGAAGTTAAAATCATCCACTACAACAACCCTTGCTTTTTTTTACATCTTTCCATGATCTGCTTGCATATCCATTTCTTTATCACCTGCAAGCTATTGGGAGGCCTATAGTATACCCTCGCTATACACTTTTGATTTCTGAGACACAGCAACATATGTGGTAGCCATACAGTCTGATCCAACTGTCATGTAGTTACAAAAATCAAAGGAGCTCAGTGAAAGTCAGATTGGGATAATAATAAATATTAATTATCATGTTTCAGAACTGGGAGGCATCTAACCATTGAGATACCTGGTCTGTGAATTGTTGTTTATGACTGTAAAAGTGAAACTTTATCTTATCTCCTGTACCTGCTTTGACAGTGTTTCATGGACTATGCAGAGGGAATATCCCATTCTTCTGCATAATTGTTTTGCATAGCAAGATTTGTTGTAAAAATAGCAATATAAAAATATACTGACTGTTATTTCCTGCTCAAGAATGGAAGCAGAGTTGGGGAGCTTTTAGAAAGAATTATAACCCAGAACAAAATTAACCGTCACTTGGATAAGTGAGGATTAATGAAGGAAAGCCAGTACAGAATTGTTAAAAGACAAATTATGTTGAACTAACTTGAATGATTTTTTTTGTTAAGGTGAATGTTAACACCGAAAATTGATGAGGATTGATGTGGTGTACATGAACTTTTAAAAGTCATTTGATAAACTGCCACATGATAGGCTTGCTGGCAAGGTTGAACCCATTGGAATAAAAGGGACAGTGGTAGCATGGATACAAAGTTGATTGAGTAACAGGAAATGAAAAGTAGGGGTGAATGTACTTCTCAAATGGAGGAAATTGTAAAGTGCTGTCCCCAAATGTCTGTAGTAGAATAGCTGCATTTTATAGTTTCAATGACTTGGTTGGAAATAATTTCAAAATGTGCAGATGAGTCAAAACGTGGAAGTGTAGTGAACTGTGAGGAGGATGTTCATTGTTTTCAAGAGATTGCTGGAATAGCTGCTCACAATTTACTGCAGAGAGGTTACAAAGTGATATATTTTGGTAGACACAAGAAGCAGTACTGATCCCGTTTTAACTCTTGAAAATTAACATGATCCCAAATGCCAACAAAAACAAAAGCTTTGTTTGATAGTGTTGTTTGAAATGGATAAAATTGTAAACTTATTTCCCTCACCCCTCTGCACGTTACTTTAATCCTATTGATTGTAACAGGTAAAATCAAAAAGTTTACATAAATGTATGATGTTTCTTTGCCTGTGCAGTTAGAAGGATTACCTCAAAAGATGTACTTTGAGCTAATTTGAAAAGTCGGTGCGGGAGTAGGCTGTCCAGCCCTTTGAGCGTGCTCTGCCATTCACTGTGATCATGGCTGATCCTCTATCTCAGTGCTGGTTTTCTTTCATACCCTGATGCCCTGAGAATCTTAGAAATTTATTCAAAAGATAATTAAGGTTTTTTTTTTATTGAAGTCGCCACTGTGAAAGCTCATCTTTTCAACATTGGATAAATGTGGTTTCCTGACTTGTTCTTGTTTTCAAGTGTTGTTAAGTTTAATTGATTTAATGCTTCTGCTGAACAGGAGACAAATGAAACATTTTGGCTTTTCTTCAGATTTGGCAAGAACATTTGTGAAAGCCTTGAAATTGTTTAGCGGATATTAAGATGTGGACCTGCAGAAGGTCACTGGTTACATTTTGGTTCCTTTTGTGTACCTGTGCTAACATTGCCTGACCTCAATTCTTTGATATTCTGAAACTTTGGTTAAATCACAGGTACTGGCTATTTCTAGTTAGTCACATAAGAGAGGAGAGCACAACTTGCAATCAGTAAATTAGTATCTTGGTAAACCAGAATTAATTCATGCAGTCAGAGGTCTCTTATTGTATCGTATAATTCAGCCTGTGTTTACAACTTTTAATTCAGATGTTTAATATTCTGTATTTTATTACTTTATGACCCAAAAAAAATAATGCAATGCTCTTTGAACTATTGGCTTCAACTTTGATTTATGTTTTTTGTCATGGATTTCTTGGAACTCTTTCACAATAGCTCACGATCTCTATTTTGAGTTCTGCTCCTCTGATGCCAATACAACAATATTAAAACTGGTGGGACTAAAGTTATAAACTGATTTTGTATGAACCAGCCAGCTCTAGCACATAGATGATATCAGTTCAGAGGTTAAGCTGCATAATGCTGGCTTCAGCTAGAATTTTCGACAACAGGAATGGCCTTCAAACCAGTAAACACAGAAAGGACATGAGTGCGAAACAGAGGCCCTCCATAAATCATGAATAACAACCTAAGTTCCCAGTTATTTGGCTGTTACTCTTGCCTGTCAGTATGTCGATGCCTCACTGTCACTATCCGAACGGTTTCATAGAATTATCTTTGCTTTTGGTCAGTAATTCGCAAATGTTGTGCAAGTTCTTGAGGAAAATAATTACCTAATGAAGTGTAGAATTTACAGACTCTGAGTTAACTTTACCTGTTCTCTTTTGTACAATCATTTTCTTCATAAACTTGGATCTCCAGCTGTTACAAGGTGTAATTTGCTGGACTGGGAATAGATGTAAGTTTTGTCAAATCTTCCCAGGACAGGTATGTCACAGGTTTAGATACAGAGTAACTGAATGTCTTTGTCTTTTTCTCTGGTTTAATCAGATTCTCCAGAGTGGGGACTCAGAAAAGGGCTTTAAGTAATTTGCTTAGGAAAATGCTTCATGAAGGACAAAATATACCTGCATTCCCAAATCAGAAAAGCCGTTGGCCAAACCATCAGCTGTTCCCCAAATAAATATTATATTTAGCAGTCATTATCAGCAGAATGATTTGAGATGCATAATATATACTGTTATGTCAAACAGCAGAACTAATTTTATTTACAAGATATACTGTGGTTGGTGTAAAACATTAACTACAGACCAAATTTAACTTATGATCCACTTTTTCAACTGACGTGTCTCATCCACGATGATTTGTATACTGAATGGATGATTAGTTTGATGTATATGACTGACTTTCTGGCTTGCTCATTCATTTACTGAGTTATTGGCTTCTTTCACTGGTTGGCTCTGTGCCCAGCTCACTCATAGGTGTACTCATTCACTAATTATCTCAATGGCTGGCTCACTCATTGACTGGTTGGCTGTATGTCTGTGTTGTTGGGCTTGTCTTGTGATCAGATGGTTCACAGCATTCAGTTAACTCGACTTACTTCCTAATTCCCTAATTCCATTTTCTGAAGAAGGATCCAGACCTGAAACGTCAGCTTTCCTGCTCCTCTGATGCTGCTTGGCCTGCTGTGTTCATCCAGCTCTACACCTTGTTATCTCACTTCCTAATTCATTGGCTAGCTTGGTGATTGGTTAGCTGCTTGGCAGTGTTGTTATTTAATACCCCCATTGATATTATTTCACTATTGGTGAGACTGCTGCTGGATCTTTAACCAGAGCAGTGAATGAATAGTGACATTTCTAGAAAATATTTGAGATGTTGTGGGTCGCTGGTTTTGCAAATGGTCTGTATTTTGACCTAGATCTGAGAGAGTATGGGGTTGGAGGATGTGTTTGATAACAGGCTGCCAGATTCTGTTAATAGCTATGACAACTGAATGACCAACTTCAAATGATTTATTAAACTGCTAATCAGATCACCTTGAGGAGCTCTGTATTAGACTCACTGTGCTTGTAGTCCTAGCACTCTGTTCTTCGAAGAGCTGGGATTATTTGATTTAAAATAATGTTTGTTCCATGCTCTGCGCAGTACTTTGAGGCAAGGTCAGACTCATTGCCCAGTCCTTGGTGTTTGCCAGGTGCCTATTGGTTCCTGGACCTAGCTTCTCCACCAGGTAGCTTTCTATCTGTTATTTATAAGCTGAATGGTCAATGATTATAAAATGATTGTGCAAGTGTTGCTGGTTGGGTAATACGTGAGGAATTATTATTGATACTTTAGCCCTCTGACATTAGAGCTGTGGTGACCTATTCAAAGTCCAAGCACAGCTAATTTGTTACATTTTGCTATAGAGGGACTAAATAAATGGAGTGGAATGGTGGAGCAGATATTGTGAGGTGTCTGTAACACTGGATCCAAATTTGGTTCAATGTTATACTTCTGATAATGAACAGGATTAGGCACCTTGACGTGACTTGGGAGGGCGGGGGGGTGGTTCTTCAACTGATTTTAATCTCCCTCCCTTGGTTTGGAGTGCTTTCCACATTCATAGGCCAATGAAAGTTGAGGTGTGGGGAAACCCACTGGTTGCAGTCATACCTAGTACAAAGGAGGATGGTTGTGGTTGTTGGAGGTCAATCATTTCAGTCCGAGGACATCTCTGCGGGAGTTCCTCACTATAGTGTTCAACGCCCAACCATCTTCAGCTGCATCATCAATGATCTTTCTTGATCATAAGGTCACCGATTGCACAAAGTTTAGCACTATATGCAACTCCTTCAAACACTGAACGAAACAGTGGCAATATGCAGCAAGACCTCTGGCACCACTCTTTTATGCATATTGTAGAAGCCCATTATTTGCCTGGTGTTTCTGTCTTGGTTTGTACGGTCTGCTTTCCTCTTTTCCAGTTGCCCAGCTCCGAAGCTGGTGTTTAACCGAGTGAATGGGAAGCGCTGTCCAACTCCAGGAATTATAGACACCCAGGAAGAGGAGCACACGCCGGCTCATGAAGAGAATGTCCGGTTTGTTTACGAAGGTAAGAAAGGCTGATCTGAAACGGGACCAAGGGTTTGCTGTGCAGATGAGGGCAATTTCTTTTCTCTCTGTCTCTTTCTCCTGCTCTGAGTCTGGCTGTCCCATTAGCTCTCTTTCTTTGCACGCCACTCCCATCCCGCTCCATGTCTTGCTTGGTAAGCTCTCTGTATGCTGGTGTATGGTCTATCTGTGGCCCCACTTGCAAAATTTTTTATCCACAGAATGCGGAATACAATTTTAGTGGTGCTCGCATCAACCTTTGATTGGCCTCCCACACTGCAGCAATGACAGCAAATCTGCAGGTTATAGACTAGGATCTTTATTCCAACATAAATTCTCATCAGGTTGATAGATAATGATGCACACTTACACAACGATGTGTAATGATACTGGTTTTACATGTGATGGAGAGGAAGGAGAACGATTTACAATGTCAGCTAGCGAGAAAATTGGCTGGCCAGCTATTTATTGGAAAAGGGTCATGGGAACATAAGGTGAACCTCATTGATGAGTTACTCTGATCTCAACTTTGTATTGAGACTGCAAGAGACATCAGTGGTCATCTCTACTTTAGCTGCTGCTGACTTTTACTAGGGGAGTCAAGTGTGTCTGTTGCATATTAGTTGTCTTCTAAATACTTTCTTGGACAAAAACACATTTCTGTACTGAATTTCAGTAAGCATATGGATGAATCCATCCCTTTATTAGAGTGCGATCCCAAAGTGTTGGATTGGTCGTTTTTGTGGGCTGATGCCGATTCCGTCCCCAGGAATGTAGAACTTAGGAGCAGGAGGCCATTTGGCCCTTCAAGCCAACCCCCTTGAGATTTTGTGTTTCAAAAACTACTATCTCTTTAAAACTTCTAAACTTTAATGGAAATAGGCTGAACCTGTTCAATCTCTTTTCATAAGGTAAACCCTTCATCCCAGGAATGAGTTGAGGGACCCTTTTCTGAACTGCTTCTACGGTCTTGCATCTTGTTTCAAATAAGGAGAACAAGATTTTACACCACAGTCTAGATGTGGTTTCACTAAGGCCCTTTACAGCTGCAGTAAAACTTTCAGTAGCAACCTTGTAAACCAACTCTGCACCGCCTCCAAAGTGTTTCCATCCACCCTTTTAAAAAGCCATATTGGCTCTGTCTTGATCATTGTGATTTAAGTAGCCTGCTATAATCCTCTTAATAATAGATCATTGCACCTTCCCAATGATGGACTTGGGCTGATTGGCCTAATTTTCCTGCTTTTTGTCTCCATCTTGAATAAAGGTGTTAGATTTGATATTTTACTTTTCAGCTGGGACTCTTCCATACCCTAAAAAATTCTAGAGGATTATCACCTTTTTCAGCTTTTAGTGCCAACTGGCTGAGATTATTAGTTTTTGGTGTCCCCTGGCTGCCATCATGGCATAGTTTCTTGGGACAAATACTATTTCCAACTTGATATGTGCATTGCCTTCTGTGTTAGCTCACTTGACATATGCCAAAAAGCACAGGTTCTTGGTGAGACAGATGCCCTTATGGTTATTTACAACACTAACTATTTGCATTGCAGTCATAACACAGACACTAAGCATTATCTGTATTCTGTACTCACTGAGTATTACACACTTCTTTCTGAACATACTGTGCCAACTCCATTGCACTGAGAGGGTGACTGAAGGTGAGGTGAGTACCTTTATATCAGAATGTCACATGTCGTGATATCATGTAACTGTCTTAAAAGTACATTGCCTGTCTAATCTGAAATATATGTAGTAACAGAATAACCAATGCATTTAATATCTGTGCCATTCCTACTTCAAACCATGGGATGCACCTTTATTTTTGGGAACGTTTTATGAGTTTCCAGCTGTGAAGGCAGATAAAAGTAACTGTTGCAAGGCTGTCCATTTCTTTGTTTTCCACTATCAGTTCTCTCAGACACTGGCTAAGTGGTCAGCACTAGCTTCAATTTCTCTTTTCCAGTTCACACATTTGTTCATCCTTAGTTTTCTGCCTTTTTTTTGGTAATTCCTTGCAGGTTTTTAAAGTCTGTGCAACAATCTGACCTCCCACTAATCTTTAGAGATTTGTATTATTTTTATTTAGCCACTGAGTGATACATCGGACTCGGAGGACCTTTTTCTTTCCTACTGGAATAAATCTTTGAGTGTTATTAATGATCTCCTTAAAAGTCTGCCGTTGCAATTCTACTGACCTACCTACTAACCTAGTTTCCCAGCTCACTGTAGCCAACTCCACTTTCATTTTTTTTCTTTTATTAATTCCATGGGATGAGAGTGTCACTGGACAGGCAGCATTTATTGCCCAGAGGGCAGTTAAGAGTCAACCACGTTGCTGTGGTCTGGGGTCATATGTAGGCCAGACCAGGTAAGGATGGCAGTTTCCTTCCCTAAAGGACATTAGTGAACCAGATGGGTTTTTCTGACAATCAACAATGGATTCATGATCATCATTAGGCTCTTAATTCAGATTTTTTTAATATAAATCAAATTCCTCGTGTGTGGTGGGATTCGAACCTGGGTGTCCAGAACATTATCTGGGTCTCTGGATTAACAGTCCAGTGATAATACCACTAGGCCATCCCTATCATACCCTCATAATTACTTTTATTTAGGTTTAAAACACCAGTCATGGGTTCTTACTTCTGTCTTTCAAATTCTTGTGATCGCTCACTCCAAAGCACCTTTACCATGAAGTGAACTTTGTCTCATTACATAGGCCTAAGTCTAGGATAGCCTGCTCCTTGGTTGACTGTGGAACATAATGTTCTAAGAAATTGTCCAGACACCATTCTATGAACTAATTTTCCAAGCTACCTTTGCTGATTTATTTCTTCCAATATACATTAAAGTCAACAATGCCCCATTCATTTATTTTCTGCCTATTGTGTAGCTACTTTTTGGGGGCCTAAATTACTTCCACACAAGTGACCACTTACCATTAATATTTCTTATCTCTGCCCAAACTGATGCTCCACCCTAATCTTACAAATTGACTCAACTCTCAGTACTGAAAGAATGCCATTCTTAATTTACAGAACAGTCCCTTCACGTTTTCTTAGCTCTGTCATTCCAATAAGTTAAATGTCTTTTGACATTCAGGCCCCAACTCTGGTCACTTTTCATACATGTCTCTTGAATACCTCTTCAATCTTATATATTTATCTCCATCCAAGCTAATAATTCATTCTTTTCCAGAACGAGAGCTGCAAGTAACCAGGGAGAATGAGGAGTTTGAAGTATTAGTTACAAGATTGTATTGGAGAAATTGATGGAGCTGAAAGTTTATTAGTCACTGGGACCTAATACTCTATGTCCTTGAGTGCTGAAGGAGACAGCTGTAGAGATAGTCAATGTATTGGTGGTCTTCTAAAATACAATAGATTATGGAATGATTCTTGTAAATTGGAAGCCAGAAAATGTTACACTGTTATTTAAGAAGAGAGTGGGAGAGAAAACAAAGGGAACTACAGAACTGTTAGCTTTATGTCACTGGTAGAGAAAATGCTATAATCTCATATAAAGAGTGTGAGAAATGGATATTTGGATACAGCGTTCCCTCTAATTTTCTTACCTCCTTCACAGGTCTCCCAGGCTGGTGTGATGCCAATCAGCGTATGGAACATTGGAGCAGCTGAGCATGTATGCAGTACCACTGTTCAGAAAGAATGTTAGTTAGATACTGATCTGATTGGGCACAATCAGCATGGAGTTTTTTTGAGGATGTTACTAACAAAACTGATAAAGGGAAGTCGACAGACGTAGTTTAATTGGATTTTCAGAAGGCTTTTGATAAAGTCCCCCACAAGAGATTGGTTTGCAAAATTAAACCACATGGAATAGACAGTAAATTACTGGCATGGATTAAGGATTAGCTAACAATCAGAAAACAGAGTGGGGATAAACCAGTCATTCTCCCATTGCAGGCTGTGACTGATATGGTAATTATGCCGCAGCTGTTCACTATGCACCAGTGGTTTGGCTATGTGGACCAAATGCAATATTTCCAAATTTGCAGATGATACAAAGCTAGTCAGGAATGTGTATCGTGAGGAAGCCGTAAAATAGCTTCAAGGGCATTTGAACAGGTTCAGTGAGTGGGCAAGAACACGACAGTTGTAATATGATGTGAAAAAATGTGAGGTTATTCACATGATGGGAATAACAAATGTGCAAAGTATTTTTAAAATGGTTGAGAGGTTGGAAAGAGTAGATGCACAAAGGAACCTAATGTCCTTGTCAATAAGTCAGTGGAACATTATCTTTTATTGCAAGTGAATTCTTAATTCAGTTGTATAGAAGCTTGGCTAGACTGCAACTGGAGTATTGTGTGTAGTTTTGATCACCTTACCTCAAGGTTATCATTGCCAGACAGGAAGTGCAACAGAGGTTCATCGGACTTGTTCCTGGGATTTTCAGTGAAGAGATTGGGCAAACTGGGCCTATGTTCTCTAGGGTTTTGAAGTATGAGAGGTGATCTCATTGAAACCTACAAAATACTTAAGGGATAGACAGGGTGGATGCAAGTAAGATGTTTATCCTAGCTGTGAATTCTAGTACCAGAGGATACAACTTAAAAATAAGGGTATGCCATTTAGGACCAAGATGAGAAGTTTTTTTATTTGCAGGATTGTGAATATTTGGAAATCTCTCCTGCAGGGGTGTTTGGAATTTCAGTCTTTGAGAATGTTTAAAGTAGAATTTGATAAATTTCTGAATACCAATGGTGTAAAGGGTTATAAGAAAGTGGGTAAAAAGCACTGAAGTGTTCAATCAGCCATAATGTGTTAAATGGCAGAGCAGTATGATGGGCTGAATGGCTTACTCCAGTTCCTAAGTTACAAATGATGTGTGCATTTGGATATAGGGTCTGAAACTCTTAAAAGCATTTTTATGTCTCTGGCCTTATCTGCCAATGCATTCTTAGATTTGTCCTTTCCTGTCAATACTAGTAATCACTATCTAAATTGCTGCAAACCCCATTCAGGTTAAATGTGT